TTAAAACAATTACAACCCTTGTTAGTAATAACATAAAATATTATGCTGATTTTTAGCATTGAAGAATAATGTTTAAAGTACTATCAATGATATACAACTTATAAATCATGTGTTCGATCATATAGTTTCAATTCTAGCTACTATAATCACACTACCAATTTCTAACTATTATTTTTCAACACTTAAAAAAACTATTTCAGCTTCTATATAAAAATTCTAGTATCAAACATTAATTTACAGGTTAAATTTTAACACTTAGATTTACCCATTTATTTTTTTCTGTTGATTTCAGCAACTTAAATTTCAGCCTCATAATTTCAATAGTTTAATTTATGCTTTATTATTAGGATAGTATTTGAACTATTTAATCTCATCTACTGGTTATAAATACCCACATATAATTAATATTTCACAAAGCAAACTCCTTAATACTTGATTAACCATGTAATATTATACTTGACACCACTATACTCATGTAATTTTCATAACTAATAATTAAAGTTTTCTTTTGAACACATATTAAATCATTACTCCAGTTTCAATTTGAGACTAGAGAATAATTAAAACATAAATCTCAAATTATTAAGTATTTACTTCACATACCTAATCCTGAATTAGAACTGGTACGTCGACAGCATGAATAATATACTCAATTTTCATATCATTAAGACTAAATTTAACCGTTAGATCTTCACTCAAAGGCCCCAGTTTGCACCTCCCCCTTCCGTCACCTATTCTCTGATCTTCCTCTCTCTTTTTCTTCTTTTATTTATTTTATCATTTCTGGTCTTTACCTAACCAACACATAATAAAGACACCAACCCCACTGCTGGCTTTGCTTACACACACACAAGTGTTATACCCATGCACCAAATAACGTCCAGGTGCTTTCTAGTTGGCCCACCAAAGAAAAGACTCCTATACACACACAGGTTTGTACATACTGAAAACTGATTGCGTTAATCTTGGAGGCGCGTTCGAGCGATCATATACATGTATGAGTGCAAAAAAAAAAAAATTATAAACAAGTTAAAAGTTACAGTAAAGTTTAAATGTTAGCAAGGAAAAAAATCGAGTCTTAAACTTTTTTTTTTAAGGTATCATAGTTGTATACCTATATATGGTGCTATATATTTAAATTATATTGTAGATGATGGGTGAGAAGTGAAAACAATAAAACATGTGATATAGATTAGGTGGATAAATGTCCACCACACTTGAATTGGTGTTTGATTTTAGCTCCAAAAGTTGGATGGAGTGGCGGTTGGTGAGGTTTTTCCATTTTGGTGGGTCATTGTTTAGTTCGAAATTAAATGTAGATAATCAATTATTTGGATTTTTAACCAATTACATGTATCATTATTATGAATAAACACATGATTTACATCACAAATATCTTGTTCTTGATTTAAAAATTCCACTTCCTGATTATGGTCAAACAAAATACGTTTATTGGCAATTTCTTATATGTTTTATTGATTTTATTATATTTAGATAATTGTAAAACCGTGATTCGTGTAATATGTTGATTTTATGAAAAATTATGAAATTATCTATTATATGGGTGGGTGTGATGAACATTTGTCACACTCAAAATTATATCATAGAATGTTTAGATGAATTTCTTATCTTGAGAAATTTGAAGGTTCACTACCACTCGTAGTGAAATTATTTGAATCTTTCCAAGATTTAAGAATTCACACTATTCGTTAACAGTGATCGAGGCGGAGGGTTATTATATTATTCTTGAAAAGTTACTCATTCCTATAACATTTCTTTAGATTTTGAGTATATAAAAAATAATATCTTATGTGAGCGTGAGGACTATGTGGTTGAAACAGATCAAGATGTGGATTCAATGTCGGAAGAATAAAAAGTTATTTCATTGGGTTCGGATTTTAAATTTATGAATTTTGTTGATTGAACAATGTTTATGAATTTTCATTTCCTTAATTAGTTGGAAGATAATTACTTTGGTTTTACGTGTAAACTCATTGATTCATTTATGTTTTTTTTTTAATTTTTGTTTACTTAGATGATGTTAGTGATTATTATTGATTTATTTTATGGTGTTTTAGTTATACTCTCATGGTTGATGGTTGCAGTTTTGTTTATGCATATTTGTAAAAATTGGGCTTGACATTCCATCCATAATCTATATAAAAAAATATATAATTTATATTACTTAAAAATGTCCATATATGTGAAAAAATTTTAATTTTTAATTTTATTTTTAATTATTATAATAAAGTCAATTATAACCACCTATATACTTTCATCTAATTTTTATTTTTTCCATTTATTTGACTTTCAACTTATTTTGGACTCTGTTAAATTCTTTTAAACTCATTTATTTGAAGAAGTAAAGTCTTATATATGTTAAATTATTATATACTTGCAGTCACCAAATTAAATTTCACGACCAAATATTTTTTATTTTTTATTTTTTTCATAACCACCTATATACTTTCATATAATTTTTATTTTTTACACCTATTTTGACCTTTAACTTGCTTTAGACATTTTTTATAATGATTTGTAAATTCTTTTGAACTCATTTTTTAGTAGTACAATTAAATATAATTATCTATATTTCTATGAAGAAGTTCAATGATACTCTTTACTTTATGAAAGTTTTACTTTCTTGAGGTCAAGGGTTCAATAATATATATAATATTATAAGCGATATAATCAATATATATTATAAGCGATCTAATCAATCTATTTAACAAAATAAAAATTAATAAATATATAATATAATTAGATATACAAATGCTTAAAAAAGTCAGAGAGATATCTAAATAAATGACAAATGAAGACTCAAAAACTTATAGAATAAATCAATAATTAAAATATAAATTAATTATTTTAAATCATGACAAAGCTTATTAGCAATAATTTAGTCAAAATTAATATATTTTTATGACATAAAATGTTCAAAATGTCTCTCGAAATCAAAAGATGAAAACGTTTTGTTCTCTTGGATAAGTTATAGCAACATTGATATTTTTCTTTGTAAAATATTCAAGATTATACTGATGCAAAGCAGGTTGGCCTGGAAAAAAAAACAAAAAAACATCGGTTTTAGGCCCCAAATTTTTAGAAGGTCCCATAATTTTAGGTACATTACTAGTTTATAAAAATAAAATTAAATTCATTAAATTTTAAGCCTTTACAAAAAAGTCCCAAAAAATTAAATTCAATCAAAATTTTTATTGCAATAATTTAGATCTATAATTCAATTCATAACATTAAAAACTTAAAAATTAAAAAATATATATTTAAAAGTCAACTCATATTTAACCCTCTCTCTCTCTCTCTCTCTCTTCTGTAAAAAAAATATAAAAAAAAAAAAGCAAAAGTTAAAATTAAAAACTCTCTCTCTCCCTTTGTGATGAGAAACAAAAATAAAAATTGAAATCTTTTTCTCGATAATATTAACATATCTTTCTTTTGTCTCTCTCTCATAAAAAGAAATTTTAAATAAATTAATTTTTTTAAAAATAATACTAAAAATAAAAAGACCTTCATTTAATGTTTCTATTTTAGGTTTTAAATTGGCATGAGCCACCGTGATGCAAAGAACAAAAATAATTTAAAGCCTAATAGTTATACCTCTTGGACATGATGACCAACAAGAATGATGGTGCAGACCTTGATCGGCTACTCTTGCCTTTTCTTTTCATATTTATAACTTTTATCTTTACTGTGTTTAGGTTAAACTAAGATAATTAAGAAATCCTATAGTATTAAAATTAAATAAAAAGTCTAACATGTCAATTATTTTCCAACTCATTAACATAGTTGCCAAAATAATACTAAAGAATGAATTAATTTTGGGAAAGTATTACTTTGAGAATTATTTTTTGAAAAGGTGTTATTTTAAGAAAAAAATCTCTTTTGTGAGGTATTTTATTAATGGAATTATGAAATTCTTGACCACATTTATTACATCTTTTAAAAACGAACCTAATTAGACTAGTATAACAGTTAATCATAAGGCGAAAAATTTCACCATATAACAACTCCCGCGGTGGTCTCTGCTGTTCATTAATGTGACAAAACACGAGAGTCCATGGTGACCCTTACACGTCATCCACATCATCTACTCATCCATGAACAATTGTCATCAACTCTATCCAAACCGCCAACTGGCCCATTGAGATTAATAACTTATCATGTGACACGCCACCTTCCTGATTAGTCTGGCACCCATTGACGGTGGAGAATAAACATTGGATCAAAAATGGAATATTATTTCATATTAAATCAACAGATAAATATCCCATAAAAAAAGATTAATAATACTTTTGGTATTGAAAGTATACTTATTTTATTAATTTGGTTCCCATTAAATTAAAAAGTTTCAATTCATATTATTTTAATTCATAATCAAATAATTCGTTAAATTTTATGATGAAAGTAATTTCATGTCATTTTTTTAGACGATATTACAAAACCAACACATGATCATTTTAATAAAAATTTAATGATATGTCTGTGTAAGAATTATTTAAACATAAATTAAATACTTTATAGATCAAAATGATAAAATTGATATTTTGAGAATTAATTTAATAAAACGTGTATATTTAAAGATAAAAAATAATATTAACCCAAAAAAAAAAAAACCAGATAATCATTAACGCTGAAGTATGTTCATAGGCAAAGTGACCATATGATTATACTATATATAGTTTATACATATGTACAAAGTAGCAAAATTTTGGATTCTGTTCAGTTATTTCTTCAAAAACCTTTTATTTTTCTTCATTAGGGAATTCAAATATCAGAAATTAGAGAAAGAAGCCCTGATTATAGATTTTGAGAGTATGGAAGCTGATGTTTCTATTTACTCAACAAAATCCTGAATTTTCTCTTTCTCTTCTCATAAGAGCTACGGCTTGTGGGGATTGATGGGTTTTTGTGGGTTTTCTAAGATTTCGGTTAGAGACATGGTGAATTTTTGGATCGTGTTTTGTGGGTTTGTTATCTGTTTAATGGCTTGTACGGCGGATGCTAATGTGGTGTTGATAGGGAACAACGTGACTTTATCCTTTGAAGACATTGAAGCTAACTTTGGTGAGTTATTAATGTCTCTTGATGGTTTGTTCTATTCGATTTTAGTGCCTTTTGTTTTATATATATTTATCAAAGAAATTCACTTTACAATACTTCAAATGTTATTGGATGAAAGATGGAACATTGGTTTTTATTTTTGGTTGAAAGAGGAGCTTCATAGTAAAATGAAAATTGGAAAATATGTTTTCAATTCATTATAACGAGTACTTTAGTTATTCACTGGCAGTAGGAAGATATGTAAGAAAAAAAAAAAGTTGATAGGAATCAGTGAATAGATTCTTTCTGCTTTGGTCTTAACTAGTTGAACCATTTGGAGTATAGTTTACAAATTATTGACTCAGATAGCCTTTTGCTGTGAATAAGTAGGAAGAGATTTATACTAAACCCTGTAGCATCTAATGGAGAGCTTGGAATTGGAATTGAGGAAGGAGTTCAAAATTCAAATTAGTTGACTGCAAATTTTTATTTCCAAAGCCAAAAATTTTGTGCCCCAAATGCAGCATATATGTTTCACAATCCATGGATTGAAGTTCTGTTCATATAATGAAAATTTGGGTTTTTGGGATTAAGATGATTGTCTGGTTATGATAGCTGTAATGGCCACGATGTAGTGATTTGATCAATTAGATAATGGGTTAAAAGGCAATAGCTGCATGTGATCCTTATAATATATGTTTTTGTTCATAATTGCAGCTCCAGCAGTGAGAGGATCTGGGGAATGTGGCACTTTGTATTTGGCGGAGCCTTTGAATGCGTGCTTGCCATTGACTAATAAGTTTGGATCAGGGGGAGGGAGTCGTTGTTCTCCATTTGCATTGATCGTCAGAGGAGGATGTAGTTTTGAGGATAAAATTAAAAGAACACAAACTGCAGGGTTCAAAGCGGCCATTGTCTATGACAATGAAGATGGTGATTTGGTTGCAAGTAATGACCTCTTTTTAAATGCGACTTTATAACTTCCCGTTTGCGAATATATTTACATATATACATATTTTAGTGCAGTCACCTTGCATAATCAACTCAGAGATTAGGTTTGTATCTGGTACTTGCCATCCTTCAGAAATTCAGGGGATTAATATTGGATAATTGTCATTTAGTTAGAGAGTTTGTTCTTACCAAATGCAGTTATGGTAGGCCTGCAGTTTTTAATACCCGTTTTTTGCTCATATTATCCAGATGACTTAGTATAAACCTCTACAAAGTTAGCTAATCTATAAGCACCAAGTGAATATGTTGTACATAACTGTTGCAGAGAATAACTGGACTGTAGTCTCAATTTAATGCTGAAAGCATAGTTTCCTTTGGCTTTCATGGGTGAACTAGAAGAAAAGTGGTTTAAGAAATTAAAATGACACAATTGGCATTCATTTTACTGAGACAACAAATTTTAAGCCTTGGTATTTGGGATCAGATTGATTGACCAAAAAGGATGTTAGCAATGCAGAATACCTGCCAATCTACTACAGACAATATTTGCAGAGTAAGAAAGTAAGAATACAGGAAATAAAGGTTGATTGAACCTTACTCCATAATTTGTTGTTGATTAAAAAAGGGAGCATACTCTATAATGTTATGTGGGGGCAATCAACTGGACTAATTGAAGGTCACACATGAATTTATAAATGAGCATCGTTCATTGAACTTTAGTTTATTTTGTTTTTTAGGGCACTTATTTCGAGAAGCTAGAAAACCCTATCGACTCCCATGAGCCTCCTAAACTTATTTGTTAAATATTTAACCAAATAAGGTTATAATCTATATTACTTATGAATGTTAACATGTGTGAAAAACTTTTGATTTCCTATTTCATCCGTACTTAATAATGTTGATTCAATACTTCACATATCCTTATTAATGTCATCATTTTTTCTTCCATGTCCTATCAAAACTCTTTTTATCATATAGCATTAGGTCTCTTAGCCATTTGCTCTATTTATTTTTATAGCTTTAGGTCTTCAATTCTAATAGTAACTCCAATCACTGTATAATACATGTAGATCAATAACTAGGTTTAGTAAGAATTAAAATAAGAATTAATTCTTCGACACATAATTTATTTATTCAATTCAATTACAAATATAATCCATATTTTTTATAAGTTTAACAAAAAATATTGATGTAGATCGTATTAGGGAAGAATTAGGGATGAGAAGGAAAGAAAAAACGGACGAGAAAAGAAGAAGAAGGAGATGAGAATAGAGAGAATTTTAGAAAGAAAATTCAATATTAATAATCAATCAAAGTCTCTCAAAACAAATATCATATCCCCTATATATATATATATATATATATATATATATATATATATAGGGAGAACACAAATCCTAAAAGAACTCTAAAAGAAATAAATAGTCATAATGACAACTAAACCCTTAAAAGTTAAAAGAAATTACTTAAAAGATAATATTAGAAGTATCTAAATAACTATTATAATTAATCTATAATATCTATCTAATTCCTACAAGATCCCCATCATTTTCCTCCGGTTGAAAAAAACTCTCCTCCGGAGAGTCTTCAAAGTAGAAGTACCCTAACAGAGCAGGATGAAGATGACATAATGCCTCATCTAGAATGAAAGAATCATCGACTTCTTTCCATCGACCAGGATAAATGTAAGAATCTCCATCTGTATGAACACCTGCGAATAAAATAGGAGGCTCTGGAGTACCTCGAATAAGCAGCATGTCCTCCAAATAAAAATCTGGACTAATACTAACATTCAATGGAAAATTAAGCAAATAAGTATTAGATCCAAACTCAAGAATAGTAAAACAATTCCCATTAGATTTGAACAACAGGCATTCAATGAGACAAGACATCAATGACAAAGGAGTAACTATAATACCCTGGTGCTGAAAATAAGAAAGTACAAGCTCAATTGAACACTTAACAGTAGGCAAACAATCAAAGTTAACACTCTCAAGTGGGGCAGAATCCAAAACAATGTCAACAATCTCAGATTGAGAAGAATTTGTAACAAAGTCATGATGACTTGAACAAGTAGACATAGAATAGTCACTATTAGATTCTGTAATAAATGACTCGATTGGCTTAATATCTTGCATAGGTGTAAATTCAACAGACTTTTTCACAATTTTCAAAATCAATGATGGTTCAAGAATTGACACAAACAAAGATTCACACACACTTTCTTTTGAAATGGACTCTTGTGGGTGCAAAGGAGGAGGACTCTGATATGACGAAACCAAATGAGGGAGTTGGAAGTCCATATGAGTAACATTTTTCTCTTTATCTAACACTAAAATATCTAAATCCTATGTCACATTCAGATTAGGAAAACATACAGAAACAACATGGACATTGTTTAAGTAATCATGATACTCATATGTGATGGAATTAAAATTAGAAGATATCCTATCAGCAGGCTGTGATTGAGAACCAATCAAGGTATAATTGGATTTTTTATAAAATCTCTCAACCTTTAGAGCATATTGATAGGCTGCAACTAACGTATTAAAAGTGTATTGCTTAACCTCCCTACTAATTTTTTGTCTCAACCCAAAAATAAACTGATCAATTGTCCAAGGTTCTTCAACAATGTCACACAAGTACATGAGATAATCAAATTGGGCAAAGTAATCAGAGACACTAGAAGAATGTTGTCTAAGATTGAGTCATTGGTCATAAACTTGATCCATGTAGGAAGTAGGCAAATACTTCTCTTTTAATTTACATCTCATTTCAACCCAAGTGATAGGTGATTCTCCTAAGGGGTCTAGACTTCTTTGGATTGTTTGCCAATATTTCTTGGCCGAACCCTCCAACATCAATTTAGCAAAACGGATGCAATGGGAATCCGACATGGCATGCCAATCAAAATATTCTTCTAAATTAGCTAACCAATCCAAGAATTGATTGGGATCTAAAGTGCCACTAAATATAGAAGGATCTTTGACTAGTTTGGTCATATGAGTTGACTCTATGTAAACATGCCTAGACTTCCTATGATGATGACCTCGACGAGAGACTCTTGAAACATGTGCATTAGAGGGACTCATGAGTGACTCTTGAGAGATGAGAATGGTATAAGAACAAATTCAAGAATGCAATTAACAATTTCAAGAAAGTTTAAATAGAAAAAAATATGTTTTGGATCCTTTGTAAATTTTCTAATTTTTCAATGAATAAAAATATTAATCTCAAATTCTATAGGAGTATGCATACCATAATCAAGAGAAAATTCTAAATTTTTTTTGGGATGATTTTACAATTTTATGGATCTGTTGGTGATGTTTCTACAATTTTAGAACTTCTGGGGGGAAAATTCTACAATTTTTGCAACTTCTAGGGTAATGTTTCTGTAATTCTGAAACTTCTAGGGGAAGATTCTGCAAATTTTGGAATTTCTGGTGGTGATTCTACAACTTCTGAAATTTTTTAAGGTGTTTCTGTAATTTCTAAAACAGCTTGGATGTTGCTGCAATTTTCTGAATATGCAGGGATGGTGAACACGTGAACAGTAATTTGGCTAACAGTTTTTTTTTTTTTTTGTGATTTGTATGAATCGAAGTTGAGCTTTGATACCAAATTAATGTAGATCGTAGTAGGGAAGAATTAGGGATGAGAAGAGAAGAAGAAAGGGATGAGAAAAGAAGAAGAAGGAGATGAGAATAGAGAGAATTTTAAAAAGAAGATTCAATATCAATAATCAATCAAAGTCTTTCAAAACAAATATCATATCCCCAATATATATAAGGAGAACACAAATCCTAAAAGAACTCTAAAAGAAATAAATAGTTATAATGACAATTAAACCTTTAAAAGTTAAAAGAAATTACTTAAAAGATAAATATTAGAAGTATCTAAATATCTATCATAATTAATCTATAATATCTATCCAATTTCTACACGATCTCCATCAAATATATTATTTAAATTTATTCATGCGCAACGCATGTCATGCATTGCTAGTATTACAAATGTTTAAAATTCTTAACCTGTAAGGCAGAATGGGATCCTACGAAAAGAAAAAAACTTCTTATGCACTTGTTCTTGAGTTGGTTTGGCTTGAAGTGATGTCACCTCAAGTTAGTTGGTTACCATGTCACTTCCAACTGTTTGAAGCCTTTGATGAGCAAGAAGACAGTGTTGTAATTCTTGAGGATGATTCTTCGAAGAAAAAGTTTCATAAGCAAGTGCATGAGACTCTTTTATTTTCCATCACTGAAGAAGAGTGGAAATAAACCCCTTTTTTTTTTGTGATAGCTATCAGGTTCGTAGAATGACCGATGGAACCAACTGAATACTATGTTCTCATAAATTGATCGAAGTTTGATACACTACTTTGAAGAAAGAGATGAGATGATCTACCTGCCTTATTTTTACATAGACGAGGAATCACTCGCTAACTAACAAGAGGTCGACAATGTGACCTTTATTTCCCACAAGAGTACGAGCCACTATAATAGAAAATGCATAAGAATAGAATGATCCAGTGAGGAGTTGGAATGTCATTAGCATTTTTCATTTTTATTGAAACTGTATAAAAGCCACAGCATGCAACAAAAAAGAATGCCCCGGAGAGAAAGCGTGATTCAATTCCAAGTTTTTGGGTCAATTGTATGCTAAAAAGAACCAAGTTTATTGGTCTTGAATATCTCTTGGCAAAAAAGTTGATCTAAAAAACTAATGGCAACACAAAAACGAGTTGAAAGATAGCAAGGTGGATGCCCACGCGTTCCGCACATCTGGACTTTAGAGTAGTGTAAATGGTAGATTTTAGCCTTTTCCAAGACTTGGTTCTTGTAGCCATTTTTTGGTCATATATTTCTTATGCTCTGTACAGGCTAACTCTTGGTTTTTTTGTTGGCAAATAAGAAGGCAAGATATTTTGGCAAACTCTGGGGCTTCTCTTGGAGAGTTTTAGGGTCACTTAGACTTTTGTCAAAGCATAATGGAACTATGCTTGTTGGGCAAGTCATTCTGCATTTCTGTGTTCTTTTTGTTGTTTTTTGTCACATTGGTTATCTCTGGAGGTCTCTCATCCTTTACCAGCTTTTGTAGTGCCTTTTTTTCTTCATGTTTTTTATATTCTATTTTTCTTGCAAAATTAACTAAAAGAAGTAAAAATAAAAAGTGTAAGTCAAGGGTTGTGTAATCTCGGAGGTAAAGTATTGCAAAGAAAAGGTTATCTAGCAGTCAAGCTAAGATCCTAACTGATGTATGCTTGGTTTTGAAGTTGGTGACTTCAATTCAATCTTGGTTCCTCATACTCTATGGACTTTGAAATTTTGAAGAAGGTTGAATAGCAGATCATCTTTTAACTGATGTAAACCAAGTGTTTTACGAGATAATTACCAATTTGCTGCTCTTTCTTTTAGATGAAGTTGATAGAAGTGTGAAATGTCATCAAGATTCGACAATTTAGAATTTGGATTACTGCAACTTCATGTGTGATTTGCTTTTATTTTTTTTGGCATAAATGTTGGCCTGAATATAGCAATGAGCAGTAGCATGATGTGTTGTGAGACGTTATATTTTGGTTCTTTGATTGTATACAATAGACAGATTTTTCACTGGAAACTGTTGATATGTGTACATGCGGATATGATCTGTTGTACCTCAGAAGGCAGGTCATGCAATTCGTTTGGTGTATCTTCATATCTTTCGGCTGAAATGTTGATACCCTTTTGCAAGGGGCTAAGGAACTCATTATTGAAACAATGTAAAGGTCCACACATTCAGATATTTGATGTGAAGTTTACTAAAGATTTTAGCCCTCTTTTGTTCTTTGGATTTTATTTTTTGTGATCAAAGACTCTTTCTTTTTAATGAAATATAGTTTGATTGGGTGAGACTTTCTAATTCGGGCATGTTGAAATGCAGTGGCTGGAAATTCAGTTGGTATAAAAATACATGCTGTGTTTGTTTCCAAAGCTTCAGGCAGAATACTCTCCAAGTATGCTGGCATTGCTGATGTGGAACTGTGGATAATCCCCAGCTTTGAGAACTCGGCATGGTCAATCATGGCTATATCTTTCATTTCATTACTTGCCATGTCTGCAGTGCTGGCAACTTGTTTCTTTGTAAGAAGGCATCGCATAAGACGAGAACAACCTCGAGCTTCACATGTTCGGGAATTCCATGGGATGAGCAGTCGTCTGGTGAAAGCCATGCCAAGCCTAATATTTACAGCTGTTTTAGAGGACAATTGCACTTCAAGAACATGTGCGATATGCCTTGAAGACTATAGTGTTGGAGAGAAGCTTAGAATTCTGCCCTGCCGTCATAGTAAGTGTTCTCTTAATTCAAGTTTCTCTTCAGTTTTCTGCAATGGAGTTGAGTCACCCAACTAGGTTTTAGCTGATCAGATCTCTGATAACTTGATATGGACGGCCTCTCTCTCTCTCTCTCTCTCTCTCTCTCGTGTAAAGATGGCACAGCAAAGGAAAGCTAGGTGCCACTCTAAATCTGAAAGATAACACTAGTTTGCCACGGAGGCTGGAAAAAATATGTAAACCACCTTGCCTCTTATTAAAGAAATCCAATCTGGGAACCTCTAAAGCTAGAAGAATTTAATCATGATCAGCAAGAGCTTAGAGATGATATGGGTTATGTGCGATATACAAAAATTTAATACAAAAATTGCCTTAAAGACCTTACGCCTGAAGTTAACTTTTAGATATTACATACAAAAGGCTAATGTTATTGTATTTTTTTGTGATTAAATTTGGATTAGATTAGTAGATGTACTATTTATGGCAATAGAACTCAATCTTTGAACTTTTTTTTTTAATAAGAGAAGAAATATTTTTATTGATTCAGATGAGGTACGTAAGGGAGAAAAGAGGTGGACAAGTTGTCCAACCCCGAATCCAAAAATTACTAAAAGACGAAGAAGAAAAAGAAACAATGAAAAAAGAGCTTATAGCAGTTTATAATGTTGCACTATAAATCATACGAAACTCTCCACCCCACCATGATGCAGAAATGGTGAATGCATTGAAAATTCTTTGAAACCTAAGCTCAAAAAGATGCCAAAAATTATATCCTCTGCAATATTCCGTCTATCGTTTCACATTTATCTTCAAAGATCATTGCATTACTTTCGAACCAAATAGTCCAAATTGTAGCAAAAACAGGACAATTCCAAAGAGTAACCCCTTTCTTCTTCCAAGACCATTCAGCTAACATAGAATAGATAGCACCAGGGGTTACCCAACTTAATCCTGCCAATTTAAACAATTTATTCCACAATAAAAGTCCAATAGGGCAATGTAAAAATAAATGATCCACATTCTCATAATCACATTGACACAACACACACCACTGTGGAGAAAGACGAGAAGCAAACATTCGCCTTCGAAACATGTCATTAGTATTCATCCCACAATGAGTCACAATCCATGCACAGAGAGATCAAGAAATGGACATGGAGGATCATCAATCAGTAAATCGAAAAAAGACATACAAGAGAATTGCCCGAGCTATCGATACCTCAATCTCTCCCGTCACATGGTTCACAATCAACCTATACATTCTCAAGCAAAAGTGAGAGGGAAGTTAACTCTACAAAAGGTGAGAGTTAATCATTTTTAAGCCATGGTAAAAATTAATAATCTACAGAAGGTTGAGAATGGTGACCTATGAAGGCGCCTACGTGAATGAGTGATTATGAAAATTTGGCATGCCATTCTGTCTAGATATCTTGTAAACATGGTCAAGATCGCGATTTCGACCAACGACTTAGAGCCTCTTAAACACATTAGTTGTGGCGTCGTGGAACGACACGAGGCGATAGCTGCGATATGATCAAAAAGAAGTAGTTGAACATGACCAGAAATTAGGGCCATATTGCAAGGTCGCAGGATTATATTGACCGATTCGGTGACGATAACTTAACGATTCGAGGTTGACTCAAAGATGCCTTGGACGAGGTTACCTAACTCAATCTTGTCAATTTAAACAATTTATTCCACAATGAAAATCCAATAGGACAATGTAAAAATAAATAATCTACATTCTCATAATCACATTGACACAACACACCACTGTAGAGAAAGACAAGAAGCAAACATTTTCCTTTGAAGCATGTCATTAGTATCAATCCTACAATGACTCACAGTCCATGCATAGAGGGATCAAGAAATGGACATGGAGGATCATCAATCAAAGAATCAAAAAAAGACATACAAGAGAACTGCCCAAGCTATCGATCACCCAATCTCTCCAATCACATGGCTTACAATCAACCTATATACCATTCTGTCTAGATATCTTGTAAGCATAGTTCAAGATCGCGGTTTCAACCATCAACTCGAAACCTCTTAAAACACATTAGTTGCAGCATTATGGAACGGTATGAGGTGATGGCCGCGATATGATGTAGGACCTAAAAGAAGTAGTTGAACATGACCAGAAATCCAGGCCATATTACATCATCGCTAGATGATATCGGCTAATTTGGTGACGATAACTCGATGATTCGAGATTGACTTAGAGATGTCTCGGATGACTCGGTCAAGTCGTACAAAACTCGGGGTTTATACGTATCGGAAAACAGTATCAATTCGGAAGGTGTCGAGTCGAATACTACTCAGCTAACTTGTATCGATATCGGTCGATATTTGAAACCTTTTTTGTGTAGGATCTCATACGATTGATTCGGGTAATAATTCTTGTTTGCTATGGGGGAACTTGTGTCCCTTAGCCTTATTATCTCTTTTACAATATCAAAATATTGTCATCTAAATATTGTATTTGCACTAAGTAATATTATTTTTCTCACTAAAACCCAATGGAATAATTGGATTTTCTGTCTTGCTTAATATATTAATTCTAAGCTTGAGTAGCATGCAAGGAAGTAATCATTGATTAATGTTGTTTAAAAATATTTGGCACATATATGGTGTAACCACCCCCCTGCGCGGGGGCGGGCTAAGTAATCCAGTTTTGTTTGAATTTTTTTCTGTAAAAGTTTCTCCTGCTCCAGACTGAGTTCAAGGAAAGATAAGATAGGAAATTCCACTGGTTCTAGAGCTTACTTTATTAGTAAGGGTAAAGGGCTTTTTTATAGATTAAGAGTTGAGTAAGGGGGTGGAGCTTGAGGCTTCTCAGCTGCAAAGACAAGGAACAATCCTCCAAAAATGGAACGAGTTTGTAATTATGCCATAAGAAAGCCGCTGCCCTCTCCTTTAGAGAAAGGCGAGCATAAAAAAAAAAGACTTAAAAAAAAGAAAGTAAGGTGCTAGAGGCCACAAACTCAAAAGGAGTCGGAGAATTGGGAAAAAAAGAATTTACCCCAAGAGAATGGGATTTTTTTATCCATTTACAGAGGTCTCCTTTGGCTTGCCATGGTTTGCATAGCTTATGAATTCCAAATGAAGTGTTCAGCATTTGCAATGGATAAGAACTCAAGTTCTATTTATGTAATTAGGGTTGCTATTTTTTGTGCTTTGCATTGATAAATTAATGATTGATCTAAATAGCTCCTATTATTTGCCACTGATCATTTACTTACTGTCCCTTTTTGAGTAACTTGCTCTGGAAATTCTGACAGAGTTCCATGCGGATTGTGTCGATGCTTGGCTTACATCATGGAGAACATTTTGCCCTGTTTGCAAACGTGATGCAAGAACTAACACAGGTGACCTGCCAGCATCAGAGCGTACTCCACTGCTTTCCTCCACCCCATCTTCTGTTTCTACTTCTATGTTGTCATCTGTGAGGTCGTCATCCTCAGCCATACAAATTGTTCCAGCATCGTCAAGGTCCCCTTCACTTTCTCATTCTCATTCCATCTCTAGCACTCCTTGTAACTCTCAATCCCTTCAGTCCTACCACCAATCTCCTTATCTTAGTGTAGGCCAGAGCTCTATAGACCTTAGAAACACATCATCCCAAAGATCTCATGCTTCCTATCTAGTTTCATCGCAATCCATCTGTTACCCTTCGTTGTCGCATCTTAATTCCAGATACATGTCTCCATATAATCGAAGTATGGTAAATGTTTCAACAAGTTACATTCAGCAGCCACACCCAATGCACTGTAGCCGAAGCTTTGTAGACCTTAGAAATGCATCTTCCCAACGATCTCAAGCTTCCCATGTAGTTTCATTTCAATCAGTCGGTTACCCTTCGTTATCACCTCTCAATTCCAGATACATGTCTCCATATAATCGAAGTGCAGGCAATGCTTCACCGAGCTACATTGGGTCTTCTGGTCAGCAGCCAAACCCACTGCACTATAGTGAGTCAGCTGCAAGTTTTTCTCCTTTTGCTTCGGCTCAGTCTCTTCCAGGATGTTGATCAAATTGTAACCTGCATGGAGATGTCCGAATAGATTCTGCAAAAAGCTCATCAGAGGAAACAGAGCAAATAGTCATTGAATCCTTTCGGCCTCTAATTTAGATCTGGGGACAGCATTTAAATCAGGTATCATCTGGTGTGAGACATTACTTACGGCAGATTGTTCGGACAGTGACCTATTGTGCGTGCTTTGTACATTGTAGCATAAGACTTGTGTTATCTCCATTGCTGCCAATAATTGTGGTACTTATGAGATATCAAAATTCTCAGAGTGATGGGTGTTTCATGCTGTGTTGATTTACTTTTTTTTGGTTTTCTTTCTTCATGTTTTAATAGTTTCCGTTTGTGAGTACTGGCTGCTAACAAAGGTTGACTTTTGTACAAACTTTTTGCTCAAAATGTTCCTTGTGTGTTTGTCCCAGTGAATTAGTGGTCCAGTGTGCACACACGCACGCCAAAGCACTGTTGGGAATCGTTCTAAGGGGAGGAGGGAGTAGATCTGTTGGGAAAACTTCAACTCTTGGCTACATGCTGACATCTTGAATGGGATGGATCATCTTACAGTATGCATTGAGATAAGTTTTTTTTGGCATAGCTTGTGTCATACATAGTTGTCCTCAAATTTTTCTCTTGTAAGCAATCCCAAGTGCAGCATGCTTGAACAGAACACCACTCATGTCCCATATTTTGCAGCCACAGATCTTTGTTCTTAGATTGCAAACATAGTGAACCTCGTTAGTATCAAGGACCTCAAACTTCCTCAGCCAACAAGTTACATGCTATATTGACTTGTCCACTTTTTTTTTTGTTAAAATAGGTTGAGCTCCGAGGTCCCGTACAGCTATTAGAGGATTTGGAAATGTTATTAGTGATGTGGTCATTTTTTTTTCTACAGTGGGTCAAATGCATGTCTTGCCAACATTGACGTTTAAGTATTTTCTCCAACTAAGCATGGGCTTGAAGGTTGTATGCTTCTATCCTTCACATTGCAGTGTTTGAAGCCCTGCACATCGAATGACCTTGTTGCCTTCTAATAGTAATGTCTGAGCAGCTGTACAACTTCTTCAAATTTGAAAATATGTGCATTGCACAAAACCAATTGGCAGAAGAATATGGAACATTTTCATTCACAGCTTCTCTCAGACCTTTCTATCAATCCTAAATGTCAAATGCTTGCCTTCAGACAATACAGTACACCCATAAATTCAACCAATGGAAGAGAAAACTCCAACTACACTCTTATTATTGGTTGTTTTTACTATGGCAGCATATGTAGGCAAATTCCCATAGGAATCAACATGGGTTCCTTCAATTACATCCCATGGCTTTTCTTTTTGCTCTGTATAACTGCATACTTTTGGGATCTAACCCACACTTCCTCGGCTCATTCCTCAAAATATGGAGAGCAACCAGGATTGCAAATCCTAGGCGAGAACCAATTGCGAACTAGGATTTAGGGATTACAATCACAGATTCAAGCCCTACCCAGCCGTGTATACAATGAATGACAGATGGCACTCAAAAGCAGAGACAAGGAAGAGATAGAGTAAGAGAAGTGTAGAGATTGGTAGAAATGAACTGACGAATTGAGGAGTTGGCTCCAATTGCCAATAAATATCACAAACGAGTGAAATATCGTCAAATTCATAAAAAAATTAAAAAATTAAAAAAATCGTCACTTAAAGCAATCCTCTAAAGCTACAAGAATTCAAACAATATCTGATCAAGAAAAAAAAAATTAGATATTTTATTTTAACATTAATAACAACAATTTTTTTGTTGGACAACTATTATTATTTTTTTGGACGAAATAATTAAACAATTCAGTCTTGTCGAAATCAAGTTATTCGTATTGGACAATAACTTAATCAATTTATTATTTATGTCAGCAACTCGTATCATTTATAAGTTTGTGTATATGATTAGTCAATCTTCATTCGCTTATTTTGCGTTGAACACAAGTCGTGTTAACATATATTTTGGAAAATTGACACCCTTATGTGTTGAAACCCAGGTTTGATCATGTAATGCAGTGGAATATGTGATATTTTGGAATTCTTCCTTTTTGAATACGATGCAAATTGAAGTTTGCTCAAGCACGAGAGGGAAGGCTGGGAAATTTTTTTGGTTGACGTTAAGACAAAATCACTCTATTGTTGTTTTGGGACGGTGTGTTAAAAACACACTTTTCCGTGTTTTAAAATCACACTTCTAATTAAAAACCTTTAGAAGTGTGTTTCTCAAACACGCTTTTATAAAAATAACGGTAATTTAATAAATAACTTTAATCTTATAGTAAAATGTACATTCAAAACTCATTTTTGTTTTTTTTTTTGCAAAAGTGTTTCCAAAATACATTTTTTATGGAAAAAAAATCGGTAATTTGATAAATAAAGTTAAAACCAAAGCAATTGGATAAAAAAGTTCTAAAACAATGGTAGAATGATAAATTTTTCATTACTGTACCCTCAATATATTAAAAATATTAAAATATAACCCTCTCGTTAGCATCTGTTGCTTATTTTGTCGATATCAATAAAATAGTATTTGATGAAATAAGTTAAAAAAATTAACAGAAATACCACATTAAAATACTTTTAATATTGAAAATACAATATACAAATTGCCTCTCTGCCGCCCAGAAAGGAAGGAAAAGTAGAGAAGAGAATATAGGACCTACTGCAGCTACAGCCACTTCCCTCTGGACAAACAAGTTGACCAATTATAAATTACTAGCCACATTTACAACAATGTTTTCAAGTATTATTTATGGGTTTTTTTTTTGTCAGAAATTTTTTTTCGGTAATTATTGGTCACTAGTTAGACAAATTACAAGAACAAGAATGAGTTTTGAACCCACAACCTTAGGGTCCAACAATGAAAGCAGTGCCCCACTCGAGGACTATTTATGTTTGCTTCGTCTAAAAACCCTCTTTCCGTTCAATCGTATGCATTGTTTATTCACTCTGATTCATGAATTAGTTTGTCAAGTTCATAGTTAGAAACCTTAATGGCCTTATATTGATTTTATTTCCTGTGTACACTTCTCTTTAACAGTCAACGATGGAGGGTTCTTCACTTCACACAATCAATAAAAAAGATTGTACAATGGTAACTCTATCAAACAAAACTCAATTTTAGGATACAAAAAATGACAACATTAATTTCTGTAGTATCCGAAAGTAGGCGTATGCTATCCCCCCTCCTCACAAGGCCAACTTTCCTTCTAATAGCTGGGCCGGACTGCCGTGCCAGAGCGCAGATGTTACGCCAACACTAAGTCACCACAATCCAGTGTACTGTAGTTTCAAATGCTGCTGGAACAAACACAAAACCACCTCTGTAAGCATATGATGCAATACAAATAGAGATGTGATCAAAAGAAACTCAAACGGAGTGTTTATGCATGTGTTTGCCCCCCAGGTGAATGCGACAGTGGACGCCCATGCATCCATGTTGCGCACAAAACATGTTTACTTTTTCCCCTCTAATTTTTTCCTGTGTTTTATGTGGGTGTGGATGGAACCGACTACTTTTAAATTACATCAATGAGAAAAGAAAATTACATTTGACATGATAAAACTAACTTCACAAGAAACTCTCAATATTGAGTTCCACGAAGGAGCATGGATCAGGAATGTCAAAGTTATCCATCACCTGAAATCCACAATACATATGAACATGTTAGTCAAACATTGTTGTCCCAGTTAGTAATACCACAAAAAAATTCTAAGCATGAAAGAGAATTCAACGAATTGAAGGGACAGTCATCCACACATGCCCATGAAACACAACTTGCTAAATTTGACTCAAATTGGCCAGACCATGCATTAAAAGCAAAATGCATGTGGAGTATGCATGCATATGCAGAAATATGGCAACACCGGCCAACAAATTGTCTCCATTAATTGAAGAAAAATCATTCAGTATTACAATTAGATATGTGATATCCAAACCACTAACCAAAACTTTGTGAGAAAGTAAACTCCAACCATCGTTAGTTGATATAGATCAGGACTAAAGTAAGATGCACTCAAAAAGGTAAAGTATGATATTTATCCGCTAATGAAATCTGTATTGCATAGCAAGAACAGGAACGTACCAATTATTCCTATCATTTAGCTTCTCAACACAAATTTTGACTCTGAATTAACATACCTCGGGGTGCACAATGCCAAAAGTTCCTATTTGTTTCCCTTTGCAGATGATGCTTGCTTGTCTACCCGGAAGAAACTCAGGCTCCTTCAGTATACATCAAGGAATTAGTAAGTGCATCTTCACTAAACATGCCCTATGTAGTTCAAAAGAGACTGCAGAGCTAAGGCAATACATACATCTGAATGTTCTATATAATACCCTTTATTATCCCCAGGTAATACAAATGGAGTTCCAGTCACTTCCATGATTCTGTCCACCAGACCATGTATTAGCTGCAAAGAAAATACAGGATTAAAAGAATCAATACATTCAGGTAACACTGGACATTGAGTTGTTACTGAAGAAATGTGTAAAGAAAGACTGATTAAACACATAACATCCCATTCACATGATGGAATAATGAATTTGATGCAAGGAACTAGAACCACTTACATATAGTAATTCTTCTAAAACCAGCTCAAAGTGCATAAAGCTCACATATATTGTGAGAACACTTGCCATTGAAAAGTGAAAAATTACTTCTGTACTAATCCAATGCCCGCTATTCTCATTTCAAATTATTGATCAGAAAATCAGAATTATATTTTTTTTTTATAAAAGAAGAAATTTTATTAGAGAAGGGAATCAAAAAACAAAATACATTGGTATCCTCAAAAAGAATAAAAACACAATAAATATCGTTAAACTAAAGCAAGGCCACATTCCAATCCTATTGGAGGTCCAACAAAAGCAACTCTGTAAAACTCCGTGTGGCTTTGGTCCATAAAGAAGCCATAAAAACAACTGTTTCCCATACTAACTCTGATGGAAGAATATGATTATTAAATATTCATGCAGTCCTCTCCATTCAAATACACCAAAGAAGTGCATCAAGGCACAATTCCATAACAGCTTTGCTTCCTTTTTCTTTCCAAAGGAAATCAGAAATTTTAATATCTCTAAGGACTCCCTAACCAAGAAGTGGAGAGAACATGATGTGAGAAATTCATATTAACTGCCTGTTGTGGTGTACAGAACAGGAATAAAAGCCAACAAGGAAGAAGAACATTACATTAAGGTTTCAAAGCCTGGCTAGAAAAATGTAAGTTGCCTGTCTTCCCCAAGCTTTCATGGAAACAGACATGGGTGGTTTTATTATTTTATTAAAAAATAGATCACCGACAACCAAAAAGATGAAACTCCCATATCCTAGTTATCCATAAGTAATGCGTGTGTGCGTAAGAGAGAGAGAGAGACATCATGTGTAATTTGGACCATAGCAGCAACGTTAAGCCAATATGCAAAGTATCAGCACATTCAAAGCTCAATCAGCAGAAAATCACAAGTCCTTTGAAGTTTGGATCACCATCATAAAACTTCAATTTCTACTTTTTTTTTGGTGCCATTTTAGTTTTCCACATAAACCCATTACACCTTGTATTTTCTAAGCATACAGGCATCCATTGGCAATTTCAAAGGTTGGCAAACTACTTGAAGAAACCTTAAACAGCACTGTATAGGAACTCCCACTACATCATACAAATCTCCACAGTACCTATTCCCAGCTATTTATGGCACAATATAATTCCACACTATTCACAGCCTGCAACCTGTGCCTCACTTGAGACAATACTACCTTCTCCCCATCAAAATCAGTCTCATTTAGCCTAGTCTTTCTCAGCCCTAACACTGCTACCTTAGAAAGACAAACTGAAAAAAAATTTCTACCATGAACTCAGCATATGTAAATTACTATGGGCACCAGAGCTAGTTAATACACTTCTCCCTATGATAAGAAGAGACAATTGAAAGGATTATCAATAGGATCCAGAAAATACTATTATGCATGCCAATGTAAGATAATTATCACCAAATGATCAAAGCAAAACATTGATACACCATAGAACATGACGTTGTATGAATTAGCCCTCCTAACTTAATATTTTAAAGAACTACACAACTGATAGATTTAGAGAGGCAAAGCCGAAAAAGATTTTATTGTAAAAGAATAAAATAGGATTTCCACAAACTGTAACTGATACTTTAAAGAGATAAAGACAGAATTGGATGGGTAAATAATTAGTACCTCAAACCCTGAGTTAGCACCACAATATAGAGCTGCAAGATGGCGACGATTTGTTGCACCAACATCTTTTGTCTCATCTAACAGCACTATATCGCCCACTTCAAATATCTAGAACCAAAACAATGTAATTAGTAAAACTATAAAGCTAAAAGGTATGCAAAATGAAAAATAAGTGTCAATGTCTATAAGTTCACAAGGAAAAACAACAAATTTCAACACAGCAAACCACATAAGCATTCTAACATACACCCTTCCAAGTTCCAATAAGTGCATAATGAAAACCTACACAGATGCATGCCCACCTGAACATATCATCACCCACACAACCAGACAGACAGAAAAAAGATGTAGATAACTAGAGAGCGACAGGCACCCGGGGAGGGAAGATTGGCATACCATGGAGCTATGTTCTCAAAAAGTTTTGAGTGTTCTTCCTCCACTTCCCTCAATAGAACACTCAATCCCTATTCTATTTAACCATAATCAAGACATTACCATTATTCTATTTGACGATAACGAAGACATTAAGATTAACCAGCTTTACTTGAATTGGAAAGTGGTGAGATATAGCAACACTTTTTTGCTCTTCATCCCCCTATGGGAAGGGACCCTTCTCCAACACAGAAAGCATCTAGACCAATGCCACCACCTTTTCTGCCGAAAGAGCCCCAGGCACCAAAAATATAAAGACCATCATTTAAAAGCCATCCTAACCATTATTCAACTTCCCCAAGACTCACGCGATATTAACCACCTCCAATCCAAATACATAGATACAAAAATTATGTTTAAATGTGGTAGCACATAAACCTTATTGCAATCATATACTTTAGCTAATTCACCCAAGCAAACCCAAAAGGCAAAAAAAAACAAAAAGAAAGAAGAGAAAGATAATGATACTATGAATAGTAAACATAGAAACGACTACCTTTATAGGCTTTGGATGGTCTTTATTGTGCCCAATGGTTTTCAATATGCCAGGCATGAGACTGGTCCGAACAACCTGCAGAAATATAGAGAGTAATCCAAGCTTCAATGCTTTAGCAAAATATGAAGATAAAAGTATCGAGGAAATGTCTTCAAATAGTCCACCTATAACGAGACAGTTCAATGTAAAGCTTGTATCCTTTATCAATGCCAGAGATTAAATGAGAGGAACCAAATATAAAACCAACAGGAAGGATTTTGAAAAAACAAGCATAGTGAAAATGGTAGGATGGATTTTTTTGGCAGCAGTTAGAAGAGCATCAAAAACTACGGTGTTCTTTGAATCTCTAGTTCTTGCTTCAATGAGAGAAGAATACCATAAATTTCATTTGGGGGTACTGGGAAAAAAAGAAAATAGGAAGGAAAAAAAAAAGAACATGAACATCAAGCTTTAAATATGAAGCAGAAGTATTTTTTATATTTACTTTGGATTCTTTTCGTTGAATAGAAATTGTAACGTCCACAGTTGATTTCAAAGGTCTAAGATTGGAAGTTTAAGGGTTCTTTACTGTGCATTACTGCTATACATTAATTTCATCCCTTTTATCATATCCATCAAGAAAAGTTGGTAATCACTGAAGTGGGAGAAAGGTAAACAAAACTCATTACCTAATATGACGGCCATTGCCCCTCGGTATAGACCTAACCTTAACCTGCACCATCATATGTGCAAAGTAGCTGCCCTCATAGTTGAATTCACACTTTCATGATTATAAGCCAGAGCATCTTATCATTGCTCTCGACAATGATCAACATATCCTAGATTTTTTTCACATGTTGACGTCAACAACTTCATAGGCTTCTTAGTTCTTACCAACACACAAATGGGTATATCTTTGATGGAACAATCTATAGTGCCAACATTTATCAACATGGTGTGTTTAAGCTCATGTGGTATCTTCTGTTCCTTCTTGAACAAACGTTGCAAGGTACGAGTACAAACAATGGGACACACAATGTGGGGCTTGTTTGGGGAATGTGATACCCTGTTAAGTATTCCGTGCCCCCAAATTAACAATAAAAAAGTAAAAGCAAAATAAATGATGTTGTCTATTTCCCTCAAGGAAAACATTGATTGCCATTAAATTTCAAATATATATATAAAAAAAAAAGAGAGATACACAACACATATATAGTAGGTGTTTCTCCAATTACAAACCCATATTTCAGCACTTTTTCAAATAGTATCACATAATTTTAGTTAGACTTGGCACACGCTTGCAATTCTAATGTGCAAGCAATGTTACCTAGATCGTGGGTCGCTTGGTACGTGGTACGGGTACGGATACGTGGTACGACAATTTCTTAAGTACGCGGTACGATGGAGGTAGGTTTAGCAAGTACGATGTTTTGGGTCGCAATTCGTTTTGGAACTCTTATGTAGATCGTTTTCATTACTATACAATATTATATATTACAGAACATTAATAAATACTAAGTTAATTATTTTTTATCTTATAATTGTAATTGATTTTCTATTTTCTAAAACAATATATAATTACAAATTTAAATACATTTAGTCAATTAATATGTATTTTATATTTGTGCTACATGTTCTAAAGCGAATTGATTTAGAATTAGTATTATAATTTGGGATCGTCCATTTTGGTGATCTGGATCACAAACCCACCTTGTTTAGGATTGATGTACCAAGATCGTGGGTCGTTAAGGGTTTAGTAAATTGTGGTAACCAAGCGTACATACCAAAGAATTTGAGACATCCAAACTGCCATGAAACCGTAAAAGTTAAATTATACGTGAGAAGGAAGAATGTGATTATATGCACAAAGTTTGAGGCACAAAGTTATGGAGTGATAAAAACAAGAACCTAACTTTAGCTGAAAGCTTTAGAGTTGCAAACCTGTATATGGTATATTAGTTCTTCTCTTAACTATAATCTTCAGATTCCTGATATTGTACCGACACTTCTTTGCGTCTCAAACCTTTGAACCACCTAAAGGTAATCACTTGCCAAACGCTACCCCCATAACCCACTTCCACTTCACATTTTGAGAAAATAACTTAGTTTAAGTAACATCTATCAATTGGCTCTTCTACACATAAGCAAGATAAACGAGATCCCCTGTCATTCAAAAATCATTCTACACTTTGAACTAAATCCCAATGCGCAAGTAAGCCATGATCAGAAAGCTAAGAAAAAATGTGATTTCTAGGGTGGGAGCGGGTGGAGGAGCTCTAGGTATTTAGAAAAAGAAAATGATAGATTATTCTTGAAGAGTGAAATGATATTTAGAAGAGTGAATGCCTCCATTATTTTTCAATAATTGACTTCTGGTTCAGAGCAATTTACAAAGCAAGAAATGAAAAAGAATATGAACAAACAAATCAAGATGGGCAAATTTACAAAAAAAAGATTGGGAAAGAGAGAGAGAGAGAGAGAGAAAGCAACTGAGTTAGCTACAACTCCCCAAATAATCCAATAAATAATAATTATCAAAACATTACTCCATTTTATTCATTGATAAAATAGAAACCAAACCTCAAAATCAGAAGAACGAGGATTTCCATTGATCACAGCTGTTGATTTGTCATCTTTACGGTTCAGCATGGAGAAATTTTCATTGTAAGAACATAATATCCATGTTAACACCTCCGTATAACCAGTCATTGCAATCTAAAAGAAAATAAACAAGATATCAAGCCAAATGTGAACATGAAAAAACTGCATACTTACATTAATTTAAGTGAAGTATATGAGTTTCACATTCCAAATGTCTTGGTGCATCATACTGATACTTTAGTGTTTTCATAATTAATGCCAAAACATTCATAGATAACAAAAAAACAATTTTGAAAATTTACAATCATCATAATAGGAATAAAAAAACGTGCTTTGTATAACTCTTTTACAAAATTGCAAACATGATAGTAAATGATAGTTACCAATGGAAAGGGTAAGTTTGGTTTGAGATTAAGAAGCATTATACAAAGCCGAATCACGATTAACTTGGGAGCTCATTAATGCACATATCCGCAAGAAAAAAGCAAAATATGTTAGTTCAGTAAAGAGAATAGTTAGAATTAAACTTGCTAAAATTATAACAAGTTTTTTTTTCGGTAAGTACTGAAATTATAATAATTCAAAAGTTCCAAAATTCTGCAAAATGATTAAAAAAAAAAAAGGGGCAGCCTAAAGATTCAAAAAACAGAATAACCTTCGGTGACTATGAAGACATACAAAGAAGTTGACATAACAATCACAAAGGAAGGGGATGAACATTTAAATTGAATTTCCACCCAACATCGGTGGTGTTTGATAAAACTGAATGCTGAATTTTAAATGCTAAATGTTGAATTTTTTAATTTCGCAAACCATTTGGTATCCATTGTAATTGAAGTATTGAATTGAATTAAACTGTTTGACAAATATAAGGAGCCAAAGTCTCAAAATTATTATTATTCTAATTTTGTCTTCCTTTTTAACCATCTCACCGCAACTACTTTATTCCTAATACCACTGTCACAATGATGGTGGTGGCGGTGGCAGCATAATAGTTGTAATGGTCGCGAAGATAGTGGTGGCACAATAGTGGTGGTGGCGGCGGCGACACAATGGTGGTGGTAATAGTGATGGCGGCCGCACAATGGTTATGGCGATAACACAATGATCGTGGTGAAGGTGACAAAATGGCGGTGGCAGTGGCGGCACAATAATAGTGGTGGAGGATGGTGGATATTGAAAAATTAAGAGTGTAGAATGCATTGAGAGTATATTTGTCCATCATGAAGAATAGATAAACTCCTTACTGATTAATATTTTCAACATTAAGTGATAATTAGGTGACTTACTACTTAAAATTCTAGTCTATTTTTAAGAAGTACTTAAAATATTAAGTGGTATGAGTTTTAGGTTATCAAATAGGTTTAATTCATTAAGTGTTTAAAGTATTCAGTTTTAAGTTTTATGTTGTGTTGTCAGACAGCCCCTATAGTTATTATATTATAAACCATTCAATTAGAGAATAACTTCCCTCTTGACATCATTTTATGCATATTATTGTTGATTCAAAACTTGTGATTAATTCACTCAGAGCAAAGAACATTTCTCAAGGCACACCCAACAAAAAAAATCCCTCCAGCCAGATTAGTAAAATCCAAGAATTAAAAGGAACCAAAGAACTAGGCACATAGATGAAATGATCGAAGCCAGCAGGAAAATACATGAATGCTGTGGGGAAAGAGTTGAGAATGAATGTTACAAGAGTAAGAATCACACACAATAATACCACCCTATCTAGGACAATGGAGAAATTAAGAGTACATTCTGAAAAATAGAGGTTGAATACTATGTATAAATGATATTGAAAACTGCAACAGCTGAGAGGGTAATGCAAATGTGCACCAAAACACATGCATGCACACTACCTCCATTCTAATAAGGTCACTGAGCTGGTTCAGATGAAGTGGCTTCAAAGATGCAGGTTTTCTCTTTGGAATTTCATTGTACCCATAAGCAATTGCAACATCCTTGAGAGAAAGAGTCCATGTCAGTACAAATGAATATGAGGCACATTACAGATTGTACCTTAAATTCATATATAAATCTCTAGCCATACCTCTGCCACATCACATGGATGAAGAACATCACTTCTGGTTGGTGGTACAGTGACAGTGAAATTGATCTGTTCATCTCCTGATACAGACTGCTCAGCGTGTAGTTGCATTTTATGCAACAAACTAGCAACCTGAATATTAAGAAAAGTCAATAAGATTAGCTGATTAATAGCTCTAACCAGTTGCATTAAATTTGAGGTCCTGTCACAAAACACATACAAAACAGGGAAAAAATAGTTTTTCGAAGTAATATATTTAACTTTATTTAAGATCAATACTTAAATCAAACAAAAAATTGATAAGAATGATTTATATAAGTCCAAAACAAACACGCATACAAATCATAAACTCTTGAAGGACTGAGGGTGAATGTTTCTCTAATCCTAGACTATCGTCACCTAGTTGGGAAGTTTTATTACCTCAGTATAACTTGACCAAATATCTCATATGCAGTGAGTGTAGTCAATCAATTTATGGAGACTCGCCGAATACCACATTGGGAGGCTGTTTTTCGTATTATTCGCTATCTCAAGCACGCTCCCAGACTTGGATTGTTGTATAAGTTGCGTAGCCATCTTCAGTTGGAAGGGTTCACCGATGTAGATTGGGTTGGATCTCCTTTAGATAGACGATCTACTACATGATATTATACCTTTTTGGAAGGTAATCTAGTTACATGGAAAAGTACGAAGAAGACAGTGGTAGCACGATCTAGTGCTGAGGCCAAATGCAGGGCAATGGCTCACACATGTAGTGAGCTAACATGGCTACAGTACTTCCTCCAAGAAATTGGTGTTCCAGCTCAAACTCTACTTCAGTTATTCTGTAATAATCAAGCAGCTATTCATATAGCTTCTAATCTTGGGTTCCATAAAGGAACAAAATACGAGGCTAATTGTCATTTCATTTGAGAAAAGGTGTTGTGAGGAAACATTATCACACTATTTGTTAAGTCTAAGGATTAACTTGCTGATACATTTACCAAATCCTTCAGTACTACTCAGTTGAGATATATTTGTTCGAAGTTGGAATTATATGATATATATTCACCAAGTTGAGGGGGAGTGTTAGAATATATAAATATATATTTAGGAATAACATCCATGTAATAAGTATATCCCTTAAGGGGTATATAGGTCTTTTCAATTCTTTACAATACATATATATAGGGAGACGTGAGTATTATTCTCACTGCCTCCTCTTTCATTCTCTCCAAAACCATAGTCACTCTATTTCCAACTGTAAACTATATACGAAATTACAATCTATATTAAAAGAAAAATAAAAGACGGGCAGTAATAAACCATAGAAGCAACGCAGTAAGGAGCAAAAATCCACATTCAAATGCCACTTTGAAAAGTATAAAATGTTCAAACAAATAAAAGCAATCCGATAATGAGGACCCAAACTTGGCTCATACAGTATCTGTGAATCAATGACGTATTAATCCTTTAATAAATTAAACATCTGAAGGGTCACTAAACATCAGGTAGAGATAGGTAACAAAAGAAAGACAAAACTAGCAATACCTTGTTTGCCTGCAGGGTCTGTCCAACTATACTAGTGATGTATGACAAAGGCACATCCATATGGTACAGGGATAGATCAGGGTAAACATGTGATTTCCCATCAGAATATATTACTTCAACTGGTTCAACATCAAATTTCCTTTCACAATACACTGAAAACATGGTTACCTGCAAAACAACAATATTAATGCATTCAGTAACTGTCAGGGCAAACTACATCAGACAAAACTTTTTGGGAAATAATAGCAAATTCGATTAATGGATGCTAAGGGATTGTCTCCTAATTACAGAGTAGTCTGGAGCTATAGGAACTAAGATAGCCCTAACCTCTCCAACCTCCATTCAAAAACTAAAAATATAGAAACGGCATTGTTATATCCTATCTATGTCCTCTTCCTCGAATATTCCCTTTGCCAACAATCTAGGAGCACCCCAAAAAATCTAGGCATGCACCAAGCCATATCAAACACACAGAAAAATCAAGGACCAGACCTCGTGTACAACCAGGAAAGGCGATAAAAGATGGCTCCAGACTCTTCATTTGAAAAACACACAAGAGCATCTATTTGGATACAAACAAGTGCCATAGAAATTTTACAATTCTTACCATGGTATTTAAAACAATATTGGCCTTCGTCAAATCAGTGGCTGTGCATTCAATGAACACATTCTTTGTCTTTAGGGTAATGGCAGAATGTGCACTGTTAATGATAGGGGGCAAAGACAAAACAGTTCTGCAAGAGCAAAAAAAACGATATCTATCATGTTATAGAAACTTCAAAAAACTTAAAAACATCAAACGAAAAATATAAATTTTGAATTATCCAATGCTAATTTTAACATAACCAAAACAAAATTTTAAGGAGACATCAGTACACTGAATCGTCATATTATTAGAGCATATTAATTTAAGTAGAGCATAAGCTCACCCAAAAAAAGAAACCATAGGCAGACAGAGCCATCGAATTGATTTCAGCATAGCAAGTGATGGAAGCAAAAAAATATGGCAGAACATAACAGCATCAACAAGTGGCAGTCAGATAGATTAAAACAATTAGGCCAAAAAACTACTCAAAATCGTTAGGTCAAACGGGCTTATTGAGAACCAAAATACCTTTTATGATCATATATAACAGGGAATACTGGTGAGTTCTCTATGATGCGCAAGAATTTCTTCAGTTTCAGATCTGACTGCCAATATAAACGGCAAAAAATGCATCAAGATGATGTATGGACATCCTCAAGTTCTACTATAAAGCTATGAATATTACTAAACAAGCCGTGCAAACAGGAAAATATGGCACTACACACAAATAGGACTGACACCTAGCCTATTATGTAAAAAACCAATGAAGTACACATAAAACTAGAACTCACTTTGTAAAACTCCATCAACTCATCAGCTCTGAAGTTTTTGACCTAAATAAAAACCAGTTATGAGTCAGTTTCATCACAATGTCTTGTGTAAGCAAGTTTCAAACCATTGAGACAATTTCGATGAGCAACGTAGCCGCATAATAAACCCGAAAAATAGCAAGCCATTATTATTAAAAAGCACAATCTGGGAGGTGAGAATTGGGAGCAGGTAGGCAGTATGCCTTCTACAAGAGGATGTGATATTACTGGTGCAGACTAACATATCTTGCATAAGATGCTGGTGCTCAACTATGGGAAAAAAATGTGGTAAATTGAAAGCAAGGTTAGGCTTTTCTTTTTTAACTTCAATTCATTAGAAAACAAAATAAGATGCATTATACATACAATCTGAATTAAAAATGTCTTTTTAACTTCAATTCATTAGAAAACAAAATGCAAAAGGTGTTACATATGATCTTGAATTAAACATTTCAAAGAACATCAGTATTCATATCAAACTATTTAGTTCTTGATGTGTTATGATTGCTGCTCATTTTGGACCCAAATTAAAATCCTAGAAAGTTTCAATTCATTAAATTTTATCTTGCCTAACAAAATGAAACAAGCACTGACACAAAACTACACTTTGGAATTGCCAAAATTAATGTTCTGGAACAATGTGTGAAACTAACGGCAACATCAAAGTGTGAACAGACAAAACATATATCAAGTGCAACACATGTATTTGAGACATCAAACAGAGAATCAACTGTCTGCACTCCTCAAAGTTTTGAGCAACAACCTCTGCAATGTCGCCCAAGTTTTTCCCCACTATTAGGCAACAGGTATTTAGGTAGGAAACATTAATAGAAAATGGATTCTTATGTTTTCTTTTCACAAGCCCACAAAATGACATCCTTCCAAGAGGTCATCTTGGGATCGCTGTTTGTTAACTAACTTTAGTCTCCTCTGAGAATCTAGCAGCACCTATGTGGTCGTTGTAACAACAGGACTTAATTCAAGCATCTTTCAACAGAACATTTGGATTCAGAAAAGAGTTACTCACCTGTTTCAGTGGCACAAAATTTATTTCTGAGGGCGGCAAAGCCTGGAAATAAAAAGACAATTTAAGTAATAAAGCAAACAATCTCTCTTGCCATCTGTACAAACTGGAGAGCCAAAAAAACAAAAAGAAAAGGAATTGTCCCCTAAAAGCTGGTAAGAGCACAAAAAATCATTTTTACAAATTTTTAAATCTTACCAAAGCAATAGGCGTTTAAACCAAAAATGGCCTAATGGGACTCGTTCCTACAATGTCTCCAAATATTATTTTCCCATCTCTTGTCACTCTAGTACTTGCATAAGCAGAGGCTGCATGTAAGTCATGGATGCTTGGAAGCATCAACCAAATCGAATGCATGACTTAAGAGGCATGTGGTACATAGCAACCACACAAGCTCACTACAACCTCGATGCAATCCAATCCACCTTACATTAATATGAATGGTGAAAGACTGAAAAAAAAAAAAAGGCTTCCTGCAGATTGCTCGATTTACATGGTTTATCCTCCAAAGGGATACAAATACAAAGTACAAAGGAAATGGACATCATTTCACCAGATTGTGCACCAAAAAAAAAAAACACAACAGTATACCTCATATGTAAAAGGGCCTTGCATTGTATCCAAGTCATGTGTTCCAATTGCAACCAAGGTTCTTTGCCTAAAGGGGAAAAAGCAATGGAAAGAAATCACCAAGAGAAAAAGAAAGAGACCTCCAGCACGTAGAGAACACCCGAAAGATTAGCATGCTTTAAACAGATCTAAATTTTAACCAAATAAACTGTGCATGCCCATACTTGATTGTGAACTTATGGAAGACTTGGTTCTTTTTATGATGATTTAATCTTTTATGATATTTTTCTTCTTCTTTTTTATTATCCTTTCAAGGGGTGGATTCCTTATCCACTATAATGTACTTCTCATTTTATTTAATAAAAGTTTTTTGTTTCTTATTAAAAAAACTTACGGAAGAATTGAGTCAAGTAAAAAGTTAGTTGCTAACCCATCACTTCCACAAACTCTTGGATGAGCACAGGAACAGGAAAACTATTGGAAACCCTAGATCTGAAAGAGAAGGGCACCAGGAACATCATCATAGGGAAAACCAAGCAATAATAATGCCGGTTAAACTACACTTTTTCTTCTACCAGTTGAGAGAGAAGAAGGTGGCAGTTTACTGCAAAGTTCTCTTACAGATAAAACAACGTTAAGTTTGATCTCTTGGCTGGATTTCCTATCATTCCTAATTTCATCATAACAATCCCGACGACGCTTTACAAATTCAAACTTTGTATGCCTTTCATAAGGGAAAAAAGACATCATGCAGCATGACCTAAACCCATTGAAGATGTTTGAGTCAACCCCCATTGTTTACAGCAGACAAATGAATCGACATGATCCTTTGTAGCCATAGTATAGACAATTTTCAATAGTCGTAATCTAAGAAGCACATACACTTCATTTTGGCCAGAGTGTCGGTGTCAGACACGTCTGGGACACGGACACACTTTAGACATGCTAAATTGAGTGTCTAATTTTTTTATTATTAATTTTTTTTCAAGACACGTTGGAGACACACGCCCAACACAGCGCGGTCACGTTTTGAGATTCATCAATCCTCGTAGCAAATTTCGCCAGCAGTGCACTACTGCAATATGAATCCTTCATACAAAAACACATTGTTGACCAGAATTCATGCAGCAAAATAAACTGGACACTCACCATATCTTCTTCATCGGACTTGGATGCAATAAAGGTGGACAAAGAATCTCTCCCTTCAAAATAGTATCCAACCATCCAAACATTTTGATGAAATTTTATGAATTCCTCAAAAGGGCCCTTGGTAGATTTCATTCACTAGCCTGAGAAGAATGCTTAAAGAGAATTGAATTTTTCACCGAAATTATTATCAAATGTTATTGAAATCACATTCCTGCAGTGTGCATCCCACCAAAATCTATTTTGTGGCTATTGGCAACTACTATAGCAATGTTTTTTTCCAAATGTCACCTTTATAGAGTTCTAGCCAAGAGATCACCACCATAATTGCCATCAATCGCTCTCCCCCAAATCTCCATGGCACCCTTCAAAATCATTTCCCAGAAAGCATCCAACTGAAGACTCACAAAAAAGCGTCCAAACTCTAAAATCATTTAAGACATGTAGGGAACTCTTCTCACTCTTCATGAATGCCACTGAATTTATCATCAAGGCTTAGTTCCTTATTATTGGAAAATCTCTTTTCTTATTAATGAAAATTTTCCAGCTATTAATGAATGATTTCATAATTTGTCCTCTAATGCTTACTTTAACATTATTATAACACACTCCTCAAAATATACAAGTTCACCAATATCATACACAAACATGATCCAAAAAAGTGTCAATCCATTAGTATACCATCTAATCAAAAGAGTTTCACCAGGTGATAACAAACACGAGGCTAACAAATTCCATCTCAAACAATGATAAGTACAATTCACAGGAGATTTTTCAAAATCATAAATCCAAATTTAATATCATCATAGTACAAGTATTAACAAGTCCGAAAATGAGTATCAAGTCAAGCTACAGTTGAGAAATGAAAATCACAAGTATGATTTGTTACCGGCATATGTTCTGATGAAGCTTATCTTGAAGATCAATAAAGCTATTATATCTTGCTTCATCAAAAGTAACGCCTCTCAAAACAGCACATACAACATATGGGCGTATCAACGATGTCTGCATGGAAAAAATGATAATTGAAGAAAAGTAAGATAAATAAACTAGTTTAAAGCAATTATAACTCATGCTCAATTTTGGGTTGCTCGGAGACATACCTCTGGTTTCACATGTATTTTAACCATTGATTGCTTGCTAATATTAGACACTGTATATGCAGGTATTGGATCGAGTCCATTAAATACGCGAAGGGCTAGGGCAAGCCCCTCAAGACAAAGCAAATCGTATCTGCATATCAATTAAAATAAAAAATTGAAGTTATAACTAATCTTCATATTCCATTTTGTGCTAAAGGTAAGAGAGAATTTTGATAGATGATGAGACAAGAAGTCCAACCAACAAACCTAGCAGAGAGAAACTTTCCAGCGACTAACTGAATGATCGTCTTACCATATTCTCGAAGTAAAACCAAATGGGAAAAGCTAGAGCTATTACCCCCACCCCAAAAAAAAAATTGAGTCCCTCACAATCCCGAATTCAAATTATTGTTTAATTATTTCAAATTTTCTAGAAAACACAAAGCCACCAAAAAAATTGATTAGCCAATCAAATTAAGAGTACCTATTGGCTGGAACTTCGATTTTGTATATGACTTCTTCATCTTCCAATGCTTCTTCATCCAAATGCTTTTCTTTCCTTATAATTGCCTTCTCTGTCGTCTGCATTTTACAAAAATCAAGGGATAACGACATTTACCAAATATAAAATAAATCTATTCAATTACACAGTCACACACACACACACACACGTATATTCACATATATACATATACATATACATTTTATACAAATACACAAATTTATGCGTGGAGAAATGAAAGAAAATACCATAATTCAAGAAAATTTCACACAATCCCCCATTTATCATACGAATATGGATACAGGATATATATATATATATATATATATAGAGAGAGAGAGAGAGAGAAAGAGAGGGATTTTGAAAGTGCTTACAACATCGTCGAGCTCGATACCGAACTCGAAGCACAATTCATCAAACTCTTCTTGAGCTGAATTAGGATAAAGCAAAGCATGAGATTGAAGATAGTGAACTTGAAAGTGACGGAAAAATGATAAAGAGATGACAGAGAAGAGAAAGACAAACTGTAAGTGCGACCGAGGGCCTCGAAGAGACGGTCTCTTCCTACGCTGACTGTGGGCATGGTGGCGAGCTTCACAGCGACAACTATCGCAATGGTGGCGAACCAAACCCTAGACGTTTGGTTCGGTAGTTATTTCAGAATATGGAGGTCCGACCGGCCTATCGAGAGAGAGAGAGATTTTGGCTTTTTTTTATTTTAATTATTCACTGATAACCGATTTTTTATATTTTAATTATTTTTTAAAATATTAATTCATATATTTTATATTTGGGAGAATTACATCTAAACCCCTTAAAGTTTGTCACTTAATCACTTAGATCTTTTAACATTTGAAATATTATACACAGACCCTTGAGGCTTGTACGTGCGTAAAACTTAGACTCCTACTGTAAATATATTCAGTAATAAATTATACTTTGATTCCCTTGAAATTTGTAGGTATATAATACTTAGACCCCTTAAGTTTAAAATATTATACTTAGACCAAAAATACTCTATTCAATGTTATAATATCAAATATTTTAAATTGTACAACAAAATTTCATATTTTATTGTATCATTTATTAAAATAAAATTAAAAATTAAAAATTAATTTTTCTTAAAAAATTTATTTAATATACAATTATATTATCTATTAGAATAGGACTAAAAAATCAAATAAGGGGTATAAGTCATTCATAATAGAATATAAATTTTTCATCCAAAACTCATTTTCTATTATGTCATTTATTTAAATAAAATCAAAAATAAAATTTTAATTTTAAAAAAAAATTTATAATTAGTATATAATTATACTATTTATTAGAACAAAATTAAAAAATTAAATAAAGGGTTAAACTGTAATTAACACAATATCTTTTACCTTTAATTAGGGTAGTTTGGTATTTTAATTTGGTCGTGTAAACGACCAACTTAAATTCCAATAGACAATATAATTGTATACTAATTACGATTTTTTTAAAAAAAATTAAATTTTTATTGTTTATTTTATTTTAATAAAAGATAAATAAAACATGAATTATAATCGTAAAATTTAAAATATTTAACATTTTGTCTTTGATTAAAGTATCTAACTATAACATTTTAAACGTAAGGGGATCTAAATAATATATGTTTACAAACTTCAGGGGATCTAGTTATAATTTATTAATAGATATATTGACAGTAAGAGTGTAAGTGTTATGCGCATACAAACTTTAGGGGGTTTGTGTGTAATATTTTAAATATTAGGGATCTGAATGATTAAATGACAAATCTCAGGGGGTCTAGATGTAATTTTTATTTTATATTTTTATGGGTTAATCTCATTTTGCACCCTAAAAGATTGTTCAAATCTCAATTTGCACCTACAAAGATCAAAAATCTGAATTTACACCCTCAAAGATATAAATTTGTATCAATGTGCATCCCCAAAGATAAAAAATCTCAATTTGCACCCTCAAAGATAGAAATTTGTATCAATATGCACCTAAAATTAAATTGATAAATTATACCTAGATCCCCTCATGTTTGTCACTTAATCATTTGAACTCCTTCACATTTAGAATATTCCCCTTACATCTCATGACGTTTGTGCATGTGTAACACATAACCACTTTTCGTTGATATCTGTTAATATAATTATTAAAAAATATGATTTTATCTTAATAAAAAATTATAATTTCATATTACCTTTTATTTTGTAGATTCGATATACTCTAAAGTTAAAAATCAAGCTTACCATTTGAATGTTTAATAAAATGTAGATATTTATATAAAAGGTAATATGAAAAACATTATATAAATATTTACATTTTATTAGACATTCAAATGGTAAACTAGATTTTGAACTTTAGAATATATTAAACCCATAAAATAAAGGGTAATATGAAATTATAATTTTTTATTATGATAAAATTATATTTTTTAACGGTTATATTAATAGATATCAATGAAAATGGGTTACGTGTTATACGTGCACAAATGTTATAAGATGTAGGAGTAATATTCTAAATGTGAAGAGGTCTAAATGATTAAGTGACAAGTATGAGGGGATCTAGGTATAATTTATCAATTTTAGTTTTTAGGTGCACATTTATACAAATTTCTATTTTTGAGGCTGCAAATTGAGATTTTTTATCTTTGAGGTGCACATTGATATAAATATCTTTGAGGGTGCAAATTGAGATTTTTGATCTTTGGGGATGCACATTGATACAAATTTCTATCTTTGAGGGTGTAAATTGAGATTTTTGATCTTTGAGGGTACAAATTAAGATTCGAACAATCTTTCGGAGTACAAAATAAAATTAACCCTATTTTTATTGAAACTATTGGAAAGAGAACAGAGAAAAAGACAACGAGCGAACAAAAGAGGTGAGAAAGCACAAAAGGAGAAAGAAAAAATTATAAAATATTTATACAAGTTGCTACATTGATGCTCTAAATATAGAGCATCACTATAGCAACTAGCTATTTTATAGCATTTCCAAAAGAGTAGCTAAAGGACACAAAAATTTTAAATTTTAGTTATTTTTACACTAAAATTTCACTCCAACATAATATCTCTAAATCATCACAACATCTCCAGCAAAATTTTGTATTTTAGCTATCCAAAAGTACATTTTTTTAATTTTAATTACTCATTTTTTTAATACATACTTAAACAGATTTTATATATTTTAACTATTTTTTAAAATATTATTTCTCATAACTTGTACTTTTGTTGGAACTATTAAATGGGGAGAAAGAGAGAAAATGGAGGTGAAAATGATAAGAGGAAAGAGAGTATATTATAAATTGTTTATAGATAATGCTACATTGATATTTAGAATATCACTATAACAAAAATGTATTTTACTTGCTCTGAACTTCTTCTGTTGGAGCATATTTTTTTCATTGAATAGCTAAATTTTAGCTATTTTGAAGTTTTAGTCATTCTCTTGGAGATGCTCTCAAGAGCATTCTCAACAAAATTTTATATTTTAGGTATTCAAAAGTACACTTTTTTTATTTTTGCTATTCATTTTTCAATAAACACTTCAACAAATTTTCTATATTTTAACTACTTCTTTAAATATTATTTTTTATATTTTACACCTTTGTTGGAACTATTGGAGAGAGAAAAAAACACTAAGAGAACGACAATGACTGGACAATGAGAGTTAGAAAAAAGACAAGAGAATAGAAAATATATTATAAATTATGTATACATGACACTCCAGTAATGCTATAAATATAGAGTATCACTGTAGTAAGATTATATTTTACATATATTCTAAACATCTTCTATTGAAGCATGATTTTAACTTTTTGAGAGCTAAATTTTAGTTATTTTTGAGTAATCATTCTCTTGGACATACTCTAAAATAATATTTTGCGACAGTGACACTCTACATTTAGAGTGTCGCTATAGTAATATATATAAATATTTTATAATATTTTCTCTCTATTTCTTTTCTTTCCTTTCCTTCATTTTCTCTATTTCTCCCTTTTACTATTCAAAAAAAATTATACAAAAAGAACGAGAAATAATATTTAAAGAAAATAGTTAAAAATATAAAAAATATGTTATAGTGTGCATTAAAAAAGTGAGTAACTAAAATATAAAATATTACTTTTTGAGCAACTAAACTAACTTTTATTATTGCATATGCTCTTAGAACATTTGAACATATTATGTTAGAACGTGATTTTTGTCTTTAGTTATCTAAATTTTAATTATTTTGAAGTTTTATATATTCTATTGGAGATGCTATAAATAGGGAGACATAAAACTTGGAAAGGGTGTTTCAATTCTAACCCAAGCTACCTTGGTTTATAAAATGGGAAAAATTGAAAGGGGTACACCAAATTAGACTTAATTGTATAAAAATATACAAAAAAAAATTTAGGGTTCTTAAATCCTTAATTTTGATACTTATTTGTATTCAAGTACATTATTTGAATTTTTCTATTTTATTGTGACATTTTTTTCCTCCATTGCTCAATTTGTATTTTTTTTTTTTTTTGGAAAGTGTTTAATTTTCAAATTATATTTGTATATTAAATATTTCCTAATGTAATGAGAGAGAAATATAATACTTTTCAAAAAATTTGAATACACCATTATTTTTAGTTTTTTAAGAGAGAAATATACACTAATATATTTCTGCATGAAGTCGAGTTTTATGCTTAAATATTGAAGTTGATTTATGCTTCTTCTTCATCCACCTGCAAGTCAATTCTCTTCTTCAAGCCTGAAGCCAATTTCTACTTCTTCTTCAAACCAATGTTCTGTTTCATCCACGTGATAAATATGATGTATCATGAAGCTTGAAGGATGAATAAGCAAAACATTTTTTCCAGCTGAAGCCTGACAATTACGTAACAACAATTACAAGGTTTGAAGTTTTCATTTTTTTAGTATATTAACATATTAAATGTGTTAATGTATAAATATTTTTCAGTATTTATTTCTTTCTACATATGTTTTTCATTTGAGTTTTGTTGTATATATTTTTTTAATAGTTTGAGAGATTTTGGCAATGGAAGAATCAGTGTTGTTGTTATGTACATACGGTAATGCTACTAAAGTATTCAAAGTATGTGGTAATTTAAATATATCAGAACTTGTTCGTGAAGTTTGTGAGATGTGGGAGGAGTTGTTTAATTTGTCAGTACAGATGTCATATTCTATTCCTAGTCACCCCTCTTGCATGTTGCGCAACGATGTGAATTTGAAGAATTTGGTTGAATTGAAACTGAGGTTTTCAAGAAATTACATTGAAGTTAAAGTGTTTGTTGAAAATTTTGAGGGCGGGTCGGTGGGTGATAATGATTCATTGCAGCATGTAAACATTGGTGATGTTATTGAATATGAAGTAAATTTGTTACCCAATTTTATTGGTCACAATGAGAAAGTTTTCTAACTGCTGGGTGGAGTAATGAAAATACGGCACGTAGGACCAAAATTTGAAGGTGGTGTGGTACAGTTTCGTCAAGCACTTTGTAAATACTCGACTGAGTCTGGTTTTAAATTTAATTATGTAAAGAATTGTAAAATAATGATTATTGCTAATTGTTTGTTTAAGTATTCTTCTGGTTGTGGATGACATATCAATGCAATAGTGGAGAAAGTTACTGATTTTTTTTATATTAGGAAATTGGACAACAAACACATTTGTGGTGTGGATCTACAAACGACAAAT